CAGAACACGTTGCTTCAGTGAAAAAAAAAAGTGCCAGCACAGCTTTAGGACAACAGTTTCTAGAGCTGCTGCATCCGATTTGCAGTCTGGGCTCTCGCGCTTTTCCTCCGCCAGTAGCGCCGGGGGGGGGGGGGGGAGGGCCCCCCCCCGCGCGAGCACCCTCGCGGCGGAGAGTTCGCTCCTCTCCCAAACTTGGAGGCCCCCCGTACTCGAACCCCTCGCCATGGGTTCCTCTTCTTCCTCCGCGGAAGCCTGGCCCCCTGGGTTCTTCGGCGCGCCCTGGGTTCTTCTCTTCTCGCTCGGAAGCGTGACCCCTTGGGTTCTTCTCTTCTGTTTCCGAAGCCTGACCCCTCGGGTTCCTGGATGGGCCCCCATGGGTTTTACGCTTGAGTCGGCCAGGTGATGCGCGGAGATGATTGCGCCTCGCGCCTCGCGGCCTGGGCCGGGCAGCTTCGCGCCTCCAGGGGCGGCGGCGCGGGGGCGCGAAGACGATCGCGCGCAGCGCATCGCGGGGCGCGGTGCGCGGGACCACTGCGGGGAGGAACAAGATCTGGTGGCAAGTTGCCCTGACAAGGCAGGCGTTTGCCTCGCCCTCGCGCAGCTTCGCCTCGCCCGCAGGCGCGTCACGCGTGGCACGAACTGAAACCGACATCGACGTCCCGGTTGGGGAACTCCGTTCCACGTCGATCTCACCCCACAGTCTCCGATCGGGAATGTTGTGAGTCTAAGGTTGAGTGAGGTTGAGTATCGTTTGGTCTGAGTACGCGCGCGTCTGAGTGCGGGTGGGTTCGAGTACGTGTGAGGCTGAGTATGGGTGGTTATGTGGACGAGAGGGTCTCTGCCCGAGCCCCGTGGGCCCGCGGGCCGCAACATGGTCGCTGCTGCGAGCCATACGGTGCTGCTGAGGAGCGACGGGACGGCCGTGGCCTGCGGCGCCAATGGCAGCGGCCAGTGCGACGTCCCGGCGCTGGGTGGAGGATGCCTGACTTACACGCAGGCCGCTGCGGGTTGGTCTCACACCGTGCTGCTGAGGAGCGACGGGACGGCCGTGGCCTGCGGCGCGAATTACTGCGGCCAGTGCGACGTCCCGGCGCTGGGTGGAGGAGGCCTGACTTACACGCAGGCCGCTGCGGGTTGGCAGCACACCGTGCTGCTGAGGAGCGACGGGACGGCCGTGGCCTGCGGCTACAATGGCGACGGCCAGTGCGACGTCCCGGCGCTGGGTGGAGGAGGCCTGACTTACACGCAGGCCGCTGCGGGTGCCCATCACACCGTGCTGCTGAGGAGCGACGGGACGGCCGTGGCCTGCGGCTACAATGCTGCCTTCGGCCAGTGCGACGTCCGGCGCTGGGTGGAGAGGCCTGACTTACACGCAGGCCGCTGCGGGTGCCGATCACACCGTGCTGCTGAGGAGCGACGGGACGGCCGTGGCCTGCGGCTACAATGGCAGCGGCCAGTGCGATGTCCCGGCGCTGGGTGGAGGAGGCCTGACGTACACGCAGGCCGCTGCGGGTGGCTATCACACCGTGCTGCTGAGGAGCGACGGGACGGCCGTGGCCTGCGGCGGCGGCGATGGCTTCGGCCAGTGCGACGTCCCGGCGCTGCGTGGAGGAGGCCTGACTTACACGCAGGTCGCTGCGGGTTGGCAGCACACCGTGCTGCTGAGGAACGACGGGACGGCCGTGGCCTGCGGCGCCAATTTCTTCGGCCAGTGCGGCCTGCCCTCTCTGATCCGATGGACGGACTGGCTGCCGCGCCGGACCTCCCGTCTCCGGTACGTGGCGTGCTCCTCGCCGGCAGGTGCGCTGCCGACGCTGGTCCTGCAGGCGTCTTTCGACGGCGCCTCGGTGCAGTTCCTGACCCTGGGCGGGGCGGAGTTCGACCGAGTCCCGGCGGCGCCCGCCGATCGCCTGGCGGACGTGCACGCCCGGCTGCTGGCCGGCCGCCTCGCGCGCACGCTGGGCTCCAGGCTCGCCGCGGCCGACGCCGTCCTGCCGGGGGGCGGGCTGCTGAGCCGGGCCCCCGCCGGAGAGACCTGCGCAGGCGCGTTCGGGCGCGCCGAGGACGGCGCGCCCGAACGCGAGTGAGGGCGCCTCCCTGGCCATCGCCCTCCCTCTTTCCCCCATCTTTCTCTCGGTTCCCTCGATTTCCTCGTATTCCTGCTCCGCGTCCCCCCTCCCTTCCCCCATCTCATCCTCGCTTTCCTCCTCGATGTCCTTCTATTCCTGCTCCTCGTCCTCTTCCTATGGTCCCTTCGCTTCGTCCCTCTCTGGCCTCTCGCTCTCGGGCTTGAGGCCACAGAGGTTGCGCTTCCCCCTCTCCGTCCGCGTCCTGTTTTGGCCTTGAACCTCTTTTCAAGCCCACTGGTACCCCGCAGAGCCCAGCATGACCCTCTGGAACGCCCCGTGCAGCTCCTAGAAACGCCCTGCTGATGCTTTTTTAAAAAATGTTGTCTAGGATGCCCTTGTTTCGGCCACTAGACGGTACATGACGGCCCCTGGAGCCTCCGCCACGCTCCAAGATTGCCGAAAAAGGGTCCCTAAGAGAGCCCACAAACACCCAGCAGGCTGCCGAAACGGCCCAAGGCCCCCAAGGCAGCCCAGAACGCCCCCAGACGACCCCACGACGAGCTCCGAGGCGCCCGAAGACGGCCCCAACAGCGCTCCAAAACGCCTAGGGTGGCCCCAAGACGGCCCAAGAGGCCCCCAAGATGCTCCAAGAGCGCTCCTCCCCCCCCCCCCAGGGCTCCGACCCACACCTCGATGACATCTTGGGCTAATCTCGGTACCGGCCTCCCTGGTCTTCCAGGCGGCCCCAGGAAGCCTCGGGACACCCCTGAACGCCTCTGGGACAGCTCAAAAGGGCTCTGAGGCTCCCTCCAAGACCATCCAAAAGAGCTTCGAGGAAGCCCGAGAGAAGCGAACATGATTCAAAATCGCACGAAAATATATGATTTGGGCGGCCTCGCATGTTCGCCCCCGGTACGCTTCCGAGGCTTGCGCGTGACGTTCCAAGACGTTCCCGAGAGGCGCCCCAAGACGTTCCCGAGAGGCGCCCCGAGCGCACCCAAAAGGGGCCTCCAGAGGCCACCAAGAGACTCCCACGCCCGGAGAAGCCCCAGCGAGGCTCCAAAGACGCCCCCAACGAGGCTCCGAGTAGCCCTCAGGAGGCTCCCAGAGAGGCTCACGAAGGCTTGGTAATCTTCAAGAAGGAGGCTCCGAATAGCCCTCGGGAGGCTCCCGAAGAGGCTCACGAAGGCCCGATGATCTTTAAGAAGGAGGCCCCCCTATAGAGGCCCCAAAGGAGCTCCAGGAGGCCCCAGGGGTCGCCACCAAGAGGCTACCAGAGTGCTTTCAAGACGCCAGGGTCTGACTCTCCGATTCATGTCGGTCGCCGTTCCGTCTTTCGATTCGATTATGGCATCTGCGGCTCGCCTCCGAAGCTAGCTCGAGCGATGAAAAGCTAGTTGATGCCGATGTTCCAGAGGCTGCATCTGTGGAGCGAACACTCTCTTGGCCCTGCTGCACTTAGAGCCAGATTCCTTTTTCGACTCGCCGACTTTACAAACAGATTCCGGCGCCTGATCTTTCGCTCAGGCCCCATTCAGGCATTTCGGAACATGCGTTCCGCGCAGCAGTCGCGGACTGCCCAAGGGCAGAGACATGCAAAGTATTCCGGCGTGAGATCTTGCGTTCAGCCCCCATTGAGGCATTTCGGAACATGCGTTCCGCGCGTTGGTCGCTGACTGCCACAGGCAGAGACATGCACAGTACTCCGGCGTTTAATCTTGCGGTCAGGCCCAATCCAGGCATTTCGGAACATGCGTTCCGCGCGTTTGTCGCTGACTGCCAAAAGGCAGAGAAGACGCCTACGGTAATCCATCAGTGCTTGCAGCACTGTGGCCGACTTGGGAAGCTACGTTCAAGCGCGCCCGCGAAGCACGAGCCGCTTGAGAACGCATCCTCTCTTTTTCGCCAGGGTCGATGGGCAGTGAGTCTGCAGTTTTGCTCAGGACCTGCGAGCGAATCCGTGCACCGACACCGCTCCGTGCACCGATCTGCGGGCTCTTGCTTTGAAGACATCTCAGAGAGCCCCCGGGAAGTACCCACGAGCCATCCAAGATGGCGGCGAACTCGGAGGAGGCGGCTCCTCTCTCCGCTTTCCTCCCTCAGAAAGCCCACGGGAGACTCCCATGAGACATCCCAGACGGCAGCGAATTTGGAGGCGGGTTGTTGATTGATTAAAGGAACCCCAGATCGGGACAGAATTGTGTTAGGGGACCTGGGCCAGGATTTCCGGGTCGGGTTGTTGTTCCCTACCTAGGCTCTGTTCTTACTCTCTGGGCTTAAAGGGGCCGGGCAGTGGAAAGCGCCCCGGGCGGTTCCCCCAGTATCCGCCCCGCGGTTCCCCCAGTGACGTTCCCTTAGCTTAGCGTTGCTTATCTCATCTTAGCTTAGCTTATTTCATCTTAGCTTAGCTTAGCTTCATCGTAGTTCAGGTTTATCTTAGCTTAGCTTACCTTCAGCTTCGCTTCGCTGAGCTTTAGCATAGCAGAGCACAGCAACCACGAGGATGCTCGGGTAATTAGCATGGGTGTAATTCCCTACCTAGGCTCTGCCTAGAGGGTTAGCTTAGCTTAGCTTAGCATAGCGCAGCGCTGCATTAGCACAGCATAGCATATCATAACATAGCCAAGCATAGCATAGCATAGCATAACATAGCGCAGCATAGCACAACATAGCATAGCATAGCATAGCATAGCATATCATAGCATAGCATAGCATAGCATAGCATAGCATAGCGCAGCTTAACGTAGCATAGCATAACAGAGCTTAGCATAGCACAGCGCAGCATGACATATCATAGCATAGCTTAACATAGCATAGCATAGCATCGCGCAGCATAGCATAGCATAGCATAGCATAGCATAGCATGGCATAGCATGGCATGGCGCAGCATAGCATGGCATAGCATGGCATAGCATAGCATAGCAACTGATG